ACTGAAAATGACTAAAAGATCATTTGCATCATCAAGTCTTTAAAAGCTCCATTTTGAGCTGTATAAATTGAACTGGATTTCATGAAGTTACAAACGCACACCGCTTTGGTTTTATGCTTTGTTCCCATTTATTTTTTTACATTTTTAATCACCTTATACATTTTAAAGGAACATATGTCTTTACTTTATGGCTGCAGGCCTTGAGTTTGACATGTGGTTAAGAGGTATGAGAGTAAATGGGTGCTTAATACAAATGCCAGCCGCACTTTTCAGATTTCCTTCATTTTTAAAATTACATACAACCTTTATTAATGTATCAGATTAAACTACAATAAATTTAAAAAAAAATTTTTTCATAATGTTTTTGCTTCTGCTTAATAAAAAAAAGAAGGAAGATTTAAAAAATCAAATCAGAAAAATTTTCCACATTTTTCTCCCTCTAGCTTATTTGGCTAAACTTGTCAGCTGCTGTCCGTCTGATGCTTCCTCCAGACCAGATGTATTTATAGCCCAATTTAAATATATAAAAAAAAAAAACACCCTTTGCTGCCTGGTATCCATTAGAACTGTCAGAACTGAGATAAGAACTTGGATCTCTTTGCCAAAAGGCATCATCTCAGAGTGAGCTGAGGTTCTGACACACTGACCCTAAGCTTTCTGAACCTCCCTTATTTTTTCCTACATTTTCTCCCTTCAGATACAGCGTGGTGGTGGAGGGGGAGAGAGGCAACCGGCCGCACATCTACTGCTTGGAACAACTGCTCCAGGAGGCTGTAAGTTACCTGCTACTCCTTTACACACGTCTGTCTAGAAAATAAGAGAGTGTTTGAGAATAATTGATTTTCTGTTTACAGATAATCGATGTGAAGCCTCCATCGGTGCGTTATCTCCCTGAGGGCACCCGGATTGCCGCCTACTGGAGTCAGCAGTACCGCTGCCTTTACCCAGGAACTGTCGTTAACGGTGCGACAGTAAAGCACACACAGCCTGTATTTCCAACAGACGGTTCATGGAGCTGAAATCAACCATCAATGATGCGCCAGAATGTTAAAAATTTGGAATTTTCATGTTCTCTCAAACAGGAAGCGCAGATATCGACGAGAACGACGATCTGATCACGGTGGAGTTTGACGACGGTGACACCGGACGCATCCCTCTGTCCCACATCAGGCTGCTGCCACCGGATTACAAGATCCACTGTGAGCAAAACACTCAGTAATCGGCAGAAAACACAAATATGCTCCTAAAACCCAAACTAACTTGCCTCTCACTGAGTTTCCACACTCTGATGTTGATCTCGGATTTTAGATTGTGCTCACTACCCAGATATTCAAAGGCAGCATTGATCCTGCTGCTGGGGTCTGCACACATTTTCCTAGCAGCTACACCCTGAAGAAATGATGAGGTTTAGAGGCTGTTAATATCTACTGAGGACATTTTTCTTTTTTTACATCTAAGTTGTTGGTTTCCTCCCATCAGAGGCTGAATTACTCTTAAATCTTAAAATCAAAGTGTTTCCAACATGTTTTCATGGGAGAACAAGCTCTACATAAAATTTTGAAAACATATCGACTCAGTCAGGAGGCTAAACGGTGCAGATTGAAACACAACATCATGCTGTTTTTATCCAGGGGTGCTTTTTATTTCTTAGTTTAACTGTACATACTGCAAGAAGTGCTCACTTTGAATTGTTGAAATCAGAAGGAATAATTCTGTTTTTGTTGTTTTTTGTTCAGGCGCAGAGCCCTCCCCGGCGCTGCTGGTGGCTGGGCCCTCCAGAAGGAGGGTGCGCAAATGCAGCAAAGAGGCAGGAGCGAAGCCAGAGGAGACCACACCAAGGATCAAAGGGAAACCGGGTCGCAAGCCCAAACCAAAACCAGGTAAGATTTGGAGCTTTCGGTGTTATATGGGGGGTCGTTTGATCTGTGACCAGATCCCATTTTCATTAAAAAAAAGACCCAGTTCCTTTTAGGTCAGTCTCACAATAACACCCTTCATCATGGAAGTAGTTACTGAAGGAAGAAGTCAGCTAAGCTTTAAAAACTAAAGTCTTAAAGTGTCACAACAAAGATGCTAATTTTTTATTCCTTTGAGCTTTTAGCACCCGGACAGGGTTAAGGTGCAACACTGAAATAGGTTTAAGCTGCTCGCTCTATAATAAATCCCTTTTTCTTGGTAAAATCTAATATTAAAATCTTTGTTTAACATCGATTGCTTTTTTTTTTCTACTCAAAACACAGAAATGAATGCATTTCAAATAGACAACAGAAGAACTGGATGTTCTAAATAATTCTTGCTTAAATATTTATCAAAAATAAATCAGAATGAGCTAAAATAATTATTATTGATCTGTCAGGTCGCAAAGCACAAAGGCGCCGGAAAGACATGAACATGACGCAAAATTTAAAAGGAAAACAAACAAAGGAATATAAAGGAAAAATACTGCAAAGGAGAAATTTTGCCAGTACAGAAAACGAGAGATGCAAAGTGCAAACGCGCTGCAAATAACTGGGCCTGGTGAGCTAGACTGACCATGGCAGTTTACTCCACATATCAGTCGGGAAAGAAGCTGGTAGAGCCTGATTTCAGAGGCGGAACTAACAGAGTCAGTAGAAACAGTTTAGAGTCAATCAGATAAAGTCTTTTAAAAATAAAAAAAGCTCTTACAGCACCCAGTTGTTAAGATGTAACTATGTAAATGGGCATTATCTGGGCATAATAAAGGGCCTCATTAAAGCATCCCTCTGTTTGAGCTACAATCTTGACTGTTAAGCCTAAAGAAGAGCGTTGTTGTATTATGGGCCCCTTCTCCTATGCTGTGATTGGTCCAATCAGTTTTAGTCTGGAGAGTGTTGAGCCTTAGCAGCCTGACTTGCGCCCTCTGTAGCTCAGTCTGGCCGGCCAAGCTAACACATACATAGACCATGCTAACAGGCAAAAAGCTGCTCCAGACCACTAGGGGCTGTTGACCACCACCATCTCTTTTTCTGTCTTTTAGAGCACAGCACTTGTAAATACTTGTCACTATCAGATACGTCCCAGAGGCATGATCCATACAATCTGCTCATTTGCGTATTCGCAATCAGATATACATCCAGGTCGCCCCCGATTTTATTTTGTAAAAAAAGACTTAAATTACATTTTTCCCTCCCTGAAAATAGAAAGCGCAATAAAATATAATGTATTTAAGGTTAATAATGTATTTGCTGAGAAAATAACTGCCTTAAAATCCTTTCTATTTTATCACCTTAAATCAAAGGAGCCACTTTTATGCACCGGAAATGGGATCCTATGCTACTTCCGGGAGCTAAATTTTTGGATTTAATCATAAATCTAGTCTTTTTGAGTTTTATGTTTTCCTTTTGTGTTAAACTTATGGTATATAGTGCGTAACTAAAGAAAGAAACAACTAAAATGCAGATAAACATGGTTGAATCATATTTTGGCGGACCTCTCTGAGCATGTCAGACGATGACGTCAGACAAGCAGTTTAACAGAGAAATTGTAAAAAGCATCAAATTGTCTCAAAAGAAATCATTAACCATTTTTCAAAGATGTGTATTAGCATTCTTTACTGAATGAATGTTATAAATAAGTAATTTTAGTACCATAACTACATTATTTTGGGAAACATGGATGTACATCTGGTTGCACATGCGCAATTGAGCTGATGGGAAGGATCGGGTAGTGACGATGTTCCAAAAAATCATTTTCAAAGACATCATCAAACCAGAATAAAAAGTGAGCAAGTTGCATATATGCATGATGTATCAGCTTCTATATTGTCGGTCATTTTTTGTTTACATATTATTATTTATCCAGTAAGTAAAATGAATAATGAGCATTTTTTCCCACCTTGCTGCCGTTATTGTGCACCAGGAGGGGAGTAGGTATTGGTGTTCATAAAACCTTAACTGTGTTAAAAGTGTTGTTTTGTATTTCATATAATTCCCAAACTCTAGCCAGAAAAATCTCCAGTATCAGACGTCTCATATTTCATCCCGACTGTCCGTCACATTTGATTTCAGTTCATTCTTGCTTTGTTGTTCTGTGAAGCTCAAAGTCTAAACCAGAAGCTGTAATCTGGGACACATTGCTTGTACGAATTTGCTGACCCTGGTCATTATTGGGCCGAGTAAGCACTTCTGCAATGTAATGTTTTCATTTCAGAGATGGTTTCTTGCTGATTTGTCTTCCTTGAACTGCGGTGGAAAAAAAAACAAAAAAAAAAAACGCTCATGAAGCCACAGAAATAAAATGTCAGCACATCAAGGAAATGGGTCCGTGCAAAAATATTCATACAGCTAAAAAAACTTTTGATCTTTTGATACATTAGAACCTTTAAAATCCAAGGAGCCACTTTGTCCTGGATGCAGCTAAAAGCATTTGTTGCCTTTTTTAACAAACTAACATTTACTTTTTAGGTGAGAAAGCATGGATTATCTTCTATTGGGTGTTAAATTTGTGGAACATTATCGATAAAAGCACATAGTTCCTAAGCTAAGAACTAGAAAAATCAATCTAAAACATCACTGGTTCTTCTGCTGTCCTTCTGCTGTGGAAATGATTAGATCGGATTAGAATCAACTTTATTGTCATTACACAGGTACAGGTACAAGGCAACGAAATGCAGTTTAGGTCTAACCAGAAGTGCAATAGCAGCAAGTACAGGATAAATAATGATTCCATAAATACAGGACATGGGTTTCTACTGAATAAGTATAGAGATGAATACCATTATAAACAACGAATATAATATATAGATCACTAGTCTTATGAACTTAATTTACAGCTGGATATGTACTGAATATAATATACAGGTGAATATTACTATAAAACATGTTTTTACAGTTATGTACAATAGCATATATACAGATGGGTTTTACTATAAGATGAATAAATAAAGTTTGGACAGAAGCTATCTAAATTAAAGTGCAGTGGATGTTTAAAATGCATTTATTTACTGAAAACAACTGCTAAAGCTTCTAAAACTGGTATTTCTTTATCATGTTTATCATTTTAGCCTCCGTTAGCAACACTGTAGAAGGTCCGTAGAACCCTGCAATAGAATCACAGACTTCAATATGGGAACAGAACAGTATCGGCTCTTATGATAAAGTGGACGAAATAAAAAAAAGGTTTATAAAATTTAAAGGAATGGAAAAGCTGAACATTTGTGCTTCCATTGTGTTTTACATGTAAACCAAAAGCAGCAACAAAAAGCATATATTGCTAGTCTGCCAAAAAAAAGAGGTCCAGATACAATTTTAGGTATGTAGACATGCAGCTGTGTTTACAGCAGAGGTTGGTTCTAGAAGAGAGGTTCAAAACTTTTAGCAACAAGGCCACACATTTATCTATTTTAAAGTACATTTGTGGGTTTTTTTGTGGTTTGAGATTTCTTTTTAAGATGCTTTTCAGAGTTATGTAGAAAAGAATCTGTAAATAGAAAAAGCCTTGATTCATAAAATAACCTTCATTTTTGGGAGTTTCTGTTTTGGTCTAAAACAGTTCTTTTTTTCTCTTTCATCTCTTAACATTAATGGAACATGAGACACTCTGTGTTTGATAAAAGCTTCTGGTTTGATGAATAAATCAATTTATTTGTTTGTTTATTTTTTTAGTAAAATTTGCTGGATGATTGCATATGGCGACAAAAGTGAACCACAACCATATAGTATGCTCCACAGGTGCATTTTTGTCACCTATTGTCATGTACCATGACCTTATGTAGCTAAAGGAGGCTATTTTGCACTATGCGCTAACATGTAGCGTAAATATTATGTGTCACGTCCCACGCGCACAATTCAGTGAGCGTGAAGCTGACGCCCCACCCACTTTGAAAAAAGTGGTTTCGTTAAAACAAATGTTTGTGATACTTTTGATTCAGAGATTTTTAAGATAATTTTTAGGTCATTCGGAGGCCAACCATCCTAATTAAAGTATTTAACTTTTTTAGTCCTTTGTGCAAATTTGTCCTTTTTTTTTTTTTTTTTTTTTTTTTTTTTTTTTTTTTTTTTTTTGTGGGATGAGAATTTTTGTGGGATGTTTAGTGTGTACATGTAGTGTAAAATTTTGTCCTTTAAACTTGTATAACCTTATGGTGAATGAAAATATCTGACCTCAATGTGCCGTGGAGCATAATAAATGCTTCTGATTCACTTTTGTATCATATTTGATACATGAGTTTTTGAGATCTCTACATCATCAGTGTGACATTTTTGTACTTGAAAATCCTGATACAATCAGACACCTGTACTGAACAAAAAATGCATAGTAAATTGTGCAATAATGTCTAATTGATCACAAAAGATACAGATTATTTGATTAAAAACTCCTTTTTCTTTCCTGCATCTCAGAGACATCCGTTAATCAGGAAGTACGGGAGAAAGCCGATCTTCTTCCTTCTCCCTCCCAGTCCACTGAGCGACCTAAAGCTCCAGCTAAACCTGCCCAGGACCGGACCTCCTCTGTCCAGAAACCTGCTCAGGAAAAGCCCCGCCCTGCGTCTCGGCCGACAATTGGGACGCAGGAGAAATCTGAACGGAAGAACTCTGGCACTTCCTCCTCAAGCAGCCCCACACTTCCCAGTCCGGTGCCAAGGAAGAGCAGCTCTGCCCAGTCTCCTGTTTCTAAAACATCCCGAGCCCTCCCCTCCTCCCTCTATCCCTCCACCTATGGGAAGGTTCTGACTGTGGACCTGTACAGTGAGCCCAACCTTTGCTCTTATAATAGCCAGCGCAGAGAGCGGGAGAGCAGCAGCTCCATCAGTCCCACCAGCAGGTCTGTGCCCAGGCCTGCGTTGAGCGTTTCGTCCTCTGCACCCAAACCCAACGCTGCCTCCACACCCAGACCTGCCTCCTCATCCAAAATAAAATCCTCCTCAGATCATCAGAGCAGCTCCAGATCTGGCCTCAGCTCCGGACTGCTGCCCAGCCCCATCTCCAGGGTAACTAGCGGCAAATCAGGCTCTTCCCTCACCGCCAGGCCGTCATCCTCGCTGTCACCCACAGCTGCCTCCAAACCCAAGCTGAAGATCCCATCAGAGCAGATGTCCTCCAGACCCCTCCCAAGGCCCAAGTCCATCTCTGGACAGAGGAAGTGTTTGTCTGCAGAGCCGCTCGTGAAGCTCGACCACGAAGGCGTCACCTCGCCAAAAACCAAAAAAACCAAGGCTTTAATGTTACTGGAGGGGCGGGGAATCAGACGAGACCACACCCCTATTACCACTTCCACAGCGAATCAGAAGCTACTCAAAGCTAAAATGAGAGCCCCTGAGAGGGCGACCAGTCTGCCAGAGAGGGAGTCTGCCTACAAGACCCCGATCCTGGCTAAGGAGAAGCTGGAGAGTCGGGGAAGTGGCGTCAGAGGCAAAGAGACGGACGGGCGGGAAAAGGCTAAGAAAGAAGAACGAAAGGAGCTGGAGAAGAGGGAGGAGAGGAAGGTGAAAGAGGAATCTCAGAGCAGCAGCAGCTCTGATTCAGACGAAGAAGGTGAAAACGGAAAGGTGAAGAAGAAATGCACCTCTAGCTGCTCCTCTTCTTCTTCATCCTGCTCCGGTTCGTCCTCATCATCATCATCTTCATCCTCCTCATCGTCGTCGTCATCTACTGACGACTCATCCTGCAGCTCGGATGAGGAGAGGACCCCTACGCCTCCACCCGGCCCCGCCCAGAAAGCTTCAACCCAGGACCAGCTGAAAGAAGACGTGAAAGAGGAGGAAGAGGAGGTGAAGAAGGAGGTGGAAGTGAAAGTAGAGGAGGAACAATCATCCTCCCGCTCAAACTCCCCCTCCCCATCAACTCCACCGGTTACCCCCGTTCCTGCTCCCAGTACGCCAGCCAAACCGGCCACAGGGAAGGGCTCTGGGCAGAGGGGCCGTCCGCCGAAACCCAAACCGAGCGGCGGGGAGGGGAAGGCAGGGAGGCCCAAGAGGAGGGAGGGAGTCCACCTCCCCACCACCAAGGAGCTGGCTAAACGTCAACGGCTTCCCAGTGTGGAGAACAGGCCCAAGATTTCTGCTTTCCTTCCAGCCAGACAGCTGTGGAAGTGGTTTGGGAAACCCACTCAGGTGAGAAGGGGAAACCTCACAGACTTGACCAGGTGACCCTTCCTGCCGGATTCACGCAAATGTCGCCTTTTACTTTGGTTCTCCAGAGACGCGGCATGAAGGGGAAGGCCAAGAAGCTCTTCTACAAGGCCATCATGCGCGGCCGAGAGATGATCCGCATCGGGGACTGCGCCGTGTTTCTGTCTGCCGGACGGCCCAACCTGCCCTTCATTGGGCGCATCCAGAGCATGTGGGAGTCCTGGGGAAGCAACATGGTGGTCCGGGTCAACTGGTTCTACCATCCAGAGGAGACCAACCCCGGCAAGAAACTCACCGATAAGAAGGTTTTTGTCCTTTTGAAACTTTTTAAAGATCAAACTTATAAATTAGTGATCTGATATTAAAAGTTTGTTTTTTGCCTCCAGAACTGGGATCAGATGTGTGGTCAGTCTTTACCAGCAGCTCTGCACTCGTCCATCCAGAGGAAAGACTTCATGGAGGTGAGAGGGACATGAACACGTGTAGCTCTTAATGTGGTATTACATTTTTATCGTATGGTGTTACCAAAAGAAAAAAAAGGTAGCAGTCGTAGGGCTAAAGCTAAAATAACCACCTTAAAAACACCAAAAGAAACAAATTTAATAGAAATAGAAAAAAAAAAATTTTTTCAGCTAGGCATTTCAATTAATTTTAAAGTGTTCATAAAGACAAATGAAATCAGGTTAAGAGAATTGACCAGATCAAACATGTCTATCATAATCAAACAAGAAGTATTATCCATACTATAATCCAGTGGTTCCCAAAGTGTGGGGCGCGCCCCCTAGGGGGGGCGCAATGCCATTGCAGGGGGGGCGCGGAAAGCGGTATGAGTGAAGGGGGGGGGCGTGGACATCTTATTGTAATCCAAAGGGGGGCCCAGAAGAAAATCTTTGGGAACCACTGCTATAATCCATCATTTAAGAATAAACAATTACTAAAGCCTATTCCCAATCCAGTATTAGTCAGTAAGCATATAAATATTGAAATACTAGGCTTAATCAGTGTTACATTATCTTAAAAAATGACTGATAGTCTCCAACATGATTCCCTCCCCAGTGATGTTCATGATGCTGACCCTATCACAGTCTTTCTGTCCTTTTGTAAATGCGAATCCAAACACAAATGCCTCAATTCTTCATTAAACTCTCATCTCTCTCATTTGTTTGAATGCAAGGCAGTTAGCTTAAGACTCAGTTGTTTTAATCATTGATTTCATTTAGGTTAAGTATTTGTCTCATCATGCACTTTTGCAGATTTGTGAATTAAAGGTTTAAGAACGTTTTTTATTTCCTTTATTTTATATCATTACTTTAGTCTAATTTCTTCAAGCTTTGACTTTATTTGTCAAACAAAAGTTTTCTTCCTTAACCTCCACAGTTTGTCCTTCTCACCATGAGCTGCTTTCTTTCTTCTGTCTTTTCCATTGTTTCAGCTGACATCGGTGTTGTCAGATGTGCCTCTCTTTTTGTGCTTCTAAACATTATAGATCTTCAAATTGCTGCCTAGATTTTATTTTCTCTCTGTTCTATCTGAGACAAATATTTTCTAAAATGATGTATTTAGTATTCTTGAGGGCAGAAAACTGATTTGTTAAAACAGTTTAGCATTATAAATGTACGTATGTTCCTTTATGAAAGCAGCTGACCAAGTACCATGTGAGACTGGTGGCCAAAAAAATACACAAGTAACACATTTATTGGTTATTGCATCTCTGTGTAATGGCATTTTATGTTTTCGGATAATTATATCTCCCTTTTTAGTTTTGGATTTGTGGTGCCGTATGTGTTGAATAATGTATGGAGCCAAATTGGGTCCATAATTGGGTCAACCCCCCCCCCCTTTTTTTTGTTGTTGAAAAAAATAAAAAAAAAACATGTTAAAAAAATTGAAACCTGAAAAATAAGTTTGTTCAAATCTCTTTTTTTTTAAAGAAGATTTCTGCAAAGTAAAAACGAATTGCAAGTTTTGAAAAAATGTAATCTGAAAAGCAGTTTTTCTTTGTGTTCTAAGTTACATTATGTTAAACACACTTTTTTTTTCTTTTTTTATTTAAAAGTTTTTTTTTTTGTTTTTTTTTTTGGCCCTAATTTCACTCGATAATGTTGCCTCTTGTGAAGATGTGTGTAACATAGGCACAAAAACAGTTTTGAAATATACCAACTATTTCCAATTGGAAAGGATACTACAATTTTTTGGAGTTGATCAGGAATTCTGTGAATCTCTAGCAGCTAATTCATCAGGTTCTCTTAATTGCTCTTCAAAATAGAAACGGCAAATAGACATGTCCTCAATTAGGGGAATATTTAATATTATCATAAGCAAGAAAACAACTACTCCCTAGTTCTTGCTCAGAGGGGTAAACCTAACCTAAACTTTTCAATTATTTTAAAGAAGTTTTTAAAAAGCTGGATGGCAAAACATTAAAAGGTTAAGTGTGAAATTTGCCAAACTCTACAGAGATTAGACCTGAAGCTTTATGCCTCCAGGTTGGGTACTGAAAAATAGATTAAAATGTGGGAGAAACCCTTCTAACAGTTAAGTACAATGGTGGACCTGTGATGCTTTGGGCCTAATTCACTTCCAAAGGCATCCAGGAACTTGATAACTGTAAAACAGGCTTGATTAATCCGTGATTAGTGGGTGACGATAATGATCTAGAAAGTTCTGAAGGGTCTAATCATAACCACTAAGGGAATCTGTTTAAACTAAAAACTATTAGAGGTTTTACATTTTCCTAAATGATGGAAATTAAGAACTTAGTGTGTATAAATGTGGTCTGAACTGCACCGTATGAGCAACAGATAGATGCCTCGTATTTTCCTGTCCCGTCCACCTCAATAAAAAGCCTCTTTCTGTACCACAGCGCGCCCTCTACCAGTCGTCTCACAGCGACGAGAACGACGTGCAGACCATCAGTCACAAGTGTCTGGTTGTGAGCGTGGAGGAGTACGAGCAGATGATCCACACCCGCCGCTATGCCGACAGCGAGGACCTCTACTACCTGGCCGGCACCTACGAACCCACGACCGGAATGATCTTCAACACGGACGGCGTTCCGGTCATCTGCTAACCGAGCTACTGAAACCAAATCATGACACGACCTCACGAGGAGTTCCGACCAATCTGTGGTCTGATCACTGATTTTAATATTCCTGATTTAGAACCGTGACATGAACTGCTCACAAACCCTGATACACTTCAAAGAGACTGTCGAGGACAGCGCTAACTATGGAGACGGGAGACACTACAGACAGTATTAAAAAACAAAATCAGCTGTCTCCAGAAGCATTTGCACACACAGATTTTATTTCCTTCTCTACTCACAGGGAAAAGACATAAATACTTCCTATTGCGTGTAAATATCTCCCCTGCAGAAACAGACACATACAGTATGTATGCTCACGTGTGCACAACCACAATGTAAATACTTACGCTAATGTAAGAGACACAGGTATCTAGAGGAAAATCTAAGTGTTTTATTTTCATGTGATAGATTTATGTCAAGAGTACTTTTTTCTGAAGAGGTAAACAGCAAAGAAGCTTTAACGAACTGTGAATGATGAAACAGGAAGGGCACATGCCTGTTCGCCCTACAGCTGCGGGGAAAAGCTGGTGTGATGTTGTGATTATGATGTTCCTGTGGTGATGTTACAGTCCTGTTACAGTCCTATGAATTTGTGTACAGAACAGCAGGAGCAACAGACGCAAAGAAAGAAATGCACCGAAAGACGGAGGTAGACTCCTACCAGCGCAATCCAACAGAAAGCACTTAGAAACACTTGTGTTATTTAACCTTAGCAATCCCCGCCACCCCTGACAATCGGAACTCAGGGCAAAGCGTCCCTGTGTTGTTGAAATTCGACTCCCTCGTTTAACTCAGGCTAAAGAGAGAGGAAGAAATGTATCTATGAAAAGCACTTCTCGTTTTCTAAAGTTCTCAGTTTGGAGGACAAATCCGCACCAGAAACACACTATGACAGATATGCAGCTGCAGTCTGAGGATCTTCTGTCACGTTTAGCCATTTCTTTAGCTCCCACATTCAGCAAGAATTTCCCATACAGCCATCAGATAGTAGGCACTGGCTGGTACCAGATTCTCCTGGTTTAACCTTGAAGATAAACACCAAGGTTTCTCTTCAGAAACCCCAAACATGAACTAAGATGTGTGTAACACAAACAGAAAATAATCAATGTTTCCAACCATTGCAGAAATATGTCCAATTGTTACTTTTTCTGTAACGGCAAAAGATAAGATTAGCTCCTCTAAATTTAGCCTTTTAGTTGTAATTGCATGCCGCTCCGTTAAGCTGATTGGTCACTAGCCTGCAGTCTGCTGCTTTACAGTATCTGCTTGCAAACTGTGGCATTGCCTTAAAAGAGATTGGTGGCCATCTTTTTAGTTTTTAAAAACTAAACTGCATGTTTTCATTACAAAGCAGGTCATTCTATCTGTAGGAAGAGCTTAACTGAAAAGTCATTTTAAAACCATATTTTGAATTAGCTTTATAGCTTTTGGCCCTCGTATGTTTTGGCAAATAGATGTTAACCTAAACAAATAGGATAAAACACAAAAAAGACACTTTTTTAATAAGTCTTAAAGCATAAAAAACATTTTATGTTTAAATTATATTTTTATACAGGCACCTAATTTGCTTGCCCTTTTCCATTGCAAATTAGATAATTATATTTGATTAAATTATTGATAAAAGTTTTATTTCAGTAACTTGATTCTCTAGATTAATACACAGAATGTGGATGTTTCTGACGTATAGCTGGTGAAAATGTCACAATTAAGATTAGAATATTAAATAATTTCTATACAGAAATGTGGGAGTAAAAAGTATGTTTCGATTCTAAAGAATATTTGATAATTTTTTTAGTTTTAATCTAACAAATGAGCCTTATAGTAAAGTAGATTATATATTATTAAATTAGACAGCACTTGTACAGAGTCTATTTTAGGTTTTTGTTGAGATGCAAAGAAAAGGAATCAAATTTAAAATTTTTATTTGTATTTTAAAATGTGAAACAATTGAACTTTCCCCTCTTGCTTACTTGTCCTATAAACCAGCCAATGCCTACAGGATGGGGGGGCATCCTGATCTCACTGTATGTGTGGGAATGTTGGGATCAGGAATCCCAGCCGATGGGAATATTTCTGTTAAACACTGCAGTCAGTGCGAGCCTCATCAAGGTCACGGCGCTGATATCCTCCACGCAGCTGTTGAAACCGATTCGATCAGCATAACCCCATTTTAAACACTCATTCTCCACAGCTTGCCTTCCTTCATTCTCTCATTTTGTCTGCAACCTTCAGATGTCCTGTGTTTAGTGTTTAATTTATTTCTTTAAAAAAAAAAAAAAATCCCCTTCTTGATGTTTTGTGGGAAAGTTTCTCTTCAATCACATGCTTTCCTCTAAACTACCACCCGTTTCCACATGAGCGCACTTTGAATAAGGAGACTCTAAGCCTGGGAGTCTTGTATTGTCTTCCTCCAGTATTTACTCCCATCAATCACTCCCCTTTTTCTAACCTGTTAATGCAGGTAAAGAAACGCAGCCACGTCTGTCAGGTTGCTGGTTCTTACAGCAGCTCATTATTTTAGTTTTTTCTTTGTGCCTAAGTTTTTCTTTTGTCCTTTTTATTTCTCAGTGAGGCTGTTGAATGTCGTGCTCAATGATCGCCAGTGCTTAAGCGGCCTTTCTCTCCCAGGCCTTATAATGATTGTTTGCCAAACTCCTCTTTTTGCTTCCCTCCAGAGAAATAATCCCATTTTCTCTCTTTTTGCCTTCGTTAAGATGTAGTTTACTAAAAACTATCAGATGTATCCGTAAATACTAGCAGCAGGTCGCTGTATTGAACGGCGTTGCCCGCTGTCTTTGCTGGGATCGGGCTGGCATGAAAAACTGACTTAAAAATGGAAAAAGAAAACATTTCAAACCATTTGTTTTATTATCTTTAAAGAGAAAATTTAGAATTAGGTGGCCAAATTTGTCTTTCCTGTAAATCAGTCAGACATGGGTTAGATGACGCTCTTTTACTTTCTTCTGGAAAACTAACCCTAATCACCAA